TCTGGTCCAAACTCAATTATTTACAGACCGCCGCCATGTAGCTGGAATATTGCTGCGGCGTAAGACAATCAATCCACCAACCAATCCCCAGTATGCGACGAAGAAGGCAATCCTACTATACTCATGCCAATAATGGTTGTCCCCTCCCCCCCACACACACACACACACCTCACACACACACCCCACACCCCCTCTCCAATTAAAAAAATTGAAGGGGTGACAACCATTATTGGCATGAGTATATTACCGAAGTTCCATTTTAACGTCTAACCAACTCCGTTAGAAAGTTGCCGATAGTATTGTTGTCAAACTGTGATACGAGGGTTGGTCAAAAAGTAGTCTTAACTATATTCTCGATGTCCAATGTTTGAAAAGCTTCCCGTCATAATCAACAGTCAAAGATTTGGATTGCTTGATTTATATTTAGACGGGGGCTGTTTTTAAGGACAAACCCATTTTAGTCTTTCTAAAACATTGTGTGACGCTAAATATTAACGCAGTTACTTACTCCAAAACATTGTGTCCTGATATTCAAGTTGGCACTGTTTACAATATATTGAGAGCTGACACTTGTGTGACCATTCAGTATTTAGTTTGAACCCTTGGCATCATATATGAATATATGAAAACATGAGAATAATTCAGAGCTCCAGATAAGATTTAGCTCATGTGGGTACTGTACCCACTGTATTTTTTGGAGTGGGTATTATGAATGTTGAGTTGGTATTTCATTTTCCGTTACCCACTGCTTTCAAATATGTGCGTATTTCAGTCACTTTACTCACCTAAGTATTACGTCATTGAGTAAGTTTACTAAGCAGGTATGTTCTGCCTTATGTCATACCTAATCAAAACCAACTTAAATATAATGGAAATTATTTCATAAAAAATCACTCAACCTTTACTGGCAGTACAACACTTGTCCTATACTAACAGTACAACTTGATAACAATCGATGCCTTTTCATTATGCAAGCGATTTTTATAAATATATTCCGTTCGCATTTGTTTTAAACTTTTTGCGTATCTAACATTTTAAATGCGTAATTGGTACGCAACAATTATTTTTCAATGCGTAATTCTATGCGTGTTTTACCCGGATACGCAGCTTATCTGGGCCTCTGGTCAGAATAACTTATGTCCTTATGATTACGTCATCTGAAAGGGGGTGGTTAGTGTCTCCAAAACAAGCTCTTTCAGTAAACATGTAGGGGGAGTGACTTTAACAAGCGATTGTAGTTTCAAAGTGCATTTTTATGCACATTAATATCTAAGCTTGAGTCTAGCAGGTTTCTACCTATCAAACACACAAAATGTTTCTTGTATATTTTGTGATGCATTTATTGCTGATTTTGCGTTTTTTGGGAGTACCAAGATAAAAAGTCAATAAAAATGGGTGTCGTGAGGCTGGAACATAGCAAAACCAATTTGCTTGAGGTTGACAGATAACATGTAGAAAAATAAAACATAGAAACAGCTGCATTTGTATCATTTTCTAGGTGAGGCCGACTACTTTTGACCCACCCTCGTATACCTGGAGACTTACGCACTCTTATTTATTCTTTAATATGTTGTAAGTGGGCATAGCTTTATGCCGTTTTAGCAGTACTCCAGCGATGCCATGAGTAAATCAGAAATTGGTTTCACACAATTTACCCTGATTCGAACTCAATGAACTTCCATCTATTTTGGTATAAATGTGTTGTAAATTTAAAGTGTTCGCTCGTCACGCTGAAGACCCGGGTTCGATTCCCAACTATATCTTGTGTCCCCGCCTTGTTATTGCTGGAATATTGCTAAAAGCGGCGTAAAACCATACTCACTCACTATCCACCTCCTTACTCTATTTGCTCTCTAAACTTGAGGAGGAGGTACGATATAGCCCAGTCGATAAAGAGTTACCTCCCTGCGCCAGTTTGTATATTTGTTGTCTAACGCGACACAGCAATGTACCGGCTGCATGAGGGCGGGGTGGGGTTTCTGTAATAAATGAGTCTGGACCAGACAATCCAATGACCAACATCACGCAATTGGGACACGATAACATAGCTCAATGTTCATTAGGGCTGCGCAATATAACCGGTTTACGGGTATTTACCGGTTCAGACATGAAAACGATACGTATTGCGATACGCTGATCGAAAACCGGTATTTTGACTAGCATGCGGAAAACTTCGTAACATTCGGAAATGTTCGGATATGTCCTTGTTTCATTTGTGCCAAATATTATTCACATTTTTATTTTATCATGATTAAAAGTTGTTATTAAAGCTTAATCAAGCCTAGTGATTTTGTTGTGTTTTTGCTCTATAAATCAAGAATTAACTCGATTATAAGTAGTTTTTTGTTTAAAGATACTTCATGCAATATATTGCAATACATATCGCAATACATGCTTTCGCATCGCAATATATCGCAATATGAAAATTCTCTGCAATACCCACCCCTAATTTTCATCATGTTGATCACTGGATTGTCTGGTCCAGACACGATTCTTAACCATGTGCCTACAGATTCTAGAATAGAAATTATTTTTCATCATCATAATGTATATATTTTGGTAGGTAACACTTGCCCTCAATGATACAAACAATTTCTTCTTCCAGAGTGCCTTCGCTTCAGCAGCAAGATGAAGCTTCATAGTGGAAAATCCATCAATGGTTATAATGACAAAACAATCAAAGGAATCAGCATCAAAGAATGTCAAAGAGAATGTGTCCACTGTACAGAATTTCTCTGCAGGTCATTTGACTTCCTTAAATTTCAAAATATTTGTTACCTTTCAAAACAGGCCTATGATAAGGTAAAAAGATCTGAGCGTAGTGAAGGGCTACGGCTGAAATGGACGTTGGGTACACGATGTTGTGTACAGTGGAGACGCTAAAGGAGGAATTCGTGCAGTACCTTTACATGTCCCTTCAGGATAACCTGGAGTAGCCCAGTGGTTAACGTGTTCGTTTGTCAAGCCGAAGACCGGGTTCGATTTCCTTTATGGGTACAACGCGTGAAGCAAACTTCTGGTGTCCCACGCCATGATATGGCTGGAATAGTGCTAAAAGCGGCTTAAACCTAAACTCACTCACTCACCATTCAGGATAATCGGGATCTGTTGTAACAAGCAGCTGTCTTATAAACATAGCTTATAATAATAATAATGATAATCTGTTGTTGTTTCATTGTTTGTTGTTAACTATTGTCCCTTGCATATTCATATCGATCAACGTTTTCAATCGGAGTATCTGTGATGGATGAAAATGTGTATAATCGCAAGCCGCTGAAGGGATGGTATACATGTTTATCATCCAAAACTGTGTTCCACCGTAGATATCGCTTGTGTGAGATCAGACGATATCTCCTAGGAGATATCGTTTTGACAGTAGATTTTGTACAATGCCCTGACAATGCTTTGACGTCATGAACTTGTTGACGTCACAATGCTATGACATCGCTGCACTGCAAATCTAATGGCAGTACTGTGTTCAGAGATATACATCTTTCATTGAAAACTAATGAAGAGAGATTTTTTATGATACATAGAATCTCATCCTCGTGTCTTCTGATATCAAATATATCAACACTCGTTGATAAAAGTAAAAATATCCTCGACAAGCCTCGGATATTTGTTACTTTATCAACTCGTGGTGATATATTTGATATCAAAAGACACTCGGGTGAGATTCTCTATATATCACTCAGGTGAACCGTGCAGGAATTCGAAGATGAAGGCTCCAAAGTACACTGATCTATTTCACTGTCACAATCACCAATTCATTGAACCATTTCTTTAGTTCATCCCAATTTTACCAAATGTCAACTTCCAGGCCCTCACAGAGTGCATTAATGAAAGAAACCAGCTGTAACGTTTATGGAAATAACCCTTTAAGTGATGAAGTTCCCATTTATTCCCTTATCACAAAACTTTAAGTGATGAAACTCGTATTAATTCCTTTATCACAACCGTTTAAGTGATGAAACTAGTATTGATTCCCTTATCACAACCCTTTAAGTGATCAGTGTACTATTTATTCCCATATCACAAACTGTTTAGTGAGTACACGACTATTAACACACGCGGTCGAACATTTTACTTTATCAGAAGCTGTTAAGAAACAATATGACATCACCATTCATCATCGACTACAAAACCAACAAATCGCAATTATCCAAATACATTTTATTTGATATTAGGATGAATAATTAAATATATCGCCAAATTGTCTTAGCGCTAAATCGAGACTTCGGTTTGTATAAAAGAATCTAAATTTTATTCGCTGAAAAACTCACGAGGTAGCACTATTTCAAACAGAAAACTATTGTTTAAAACCATTTGTCCTCAAAATATGAAATGTTTGAAATATAATATAAATTTGACAAAATTAACCTGTACACTTTTGCTTATTTAATTAGCATATTCCAATTCCAACTTTTACATTTTATTCTCTTTTCACGACCGTGTACCTTGTCTAATGGGTCGATCGCTTGCCCGGAGAGGCTGGTGGTTCGATACTTGATTGGGTCATACCAAAAGCCCGCAACCGAGTGATATTATCCTAGTCCTGCTTGATGCTCGACATTCGAGGAATAACCCAAGGACTGGTTGCACGGAGTCAGTATACTGTGGGGGCGGTGGGGTAGTCTAGTGGTTAAAGCGTTTGCTCGTCACGCCGAAGACCCGGGTTCGATTCCCCACATGGGTACTATGTGTGAAGCCCATTTCTGGTGTCTACCGCCGCGATATTGCTGGAATATACTGCTAAAAGCGGCGTAAAACCATACTCACAAAAGAAGTTCTTCTATTTTACTAGATTACATAATGTTCTAACCGTGAAGGTCCGGGTTAGAATTGATCTTCAGTAACCCATGCTTGTCGTAAGAGACGACTAACGGGATCGGGTGGTCAGGCTCGCTGACACATGTCATCGTATCCCAATTGCGTGGGTCGATGCTCATGTTGTTGATCACTGGATTATCTGGTCCAGACTCGTTTATTTACGGACCGCCGCCATATAGCTGGAATATTGCGAAGTGCGGCGTAAAACTAAACTCAATCACTCACTCACTCACTCACTCACTCACTCACTTCTTTATCACTATAGTTTATCTTTCAGGGCATACATGAAAAACACTATTAAAACAAGAGTGTTGATATCCCTTATCATCGCCACTTTAACAGCCGCCGAGGACGCCGAGTCTGAAACAAAGGATCATCATGATAACAATAAACAGAAGAGCAATATCATTTCCACGTGTACATATAAATATTAACTCACTCACTCACATATTTTCCTTGCTTCTGCTCACGTTTCAGCGCGTACATTTTGTCATGCGGTGATTATTTACAGACCGCCGTCGAATACCGTAGATATACTCATGCCAATAATGGTTGTCCCCTTCAATTTTTTTAATTGGAGAGGAGGTGGGGGTGTAAGGTGTGTTGGGTTGGGGTGGGGAGGGCGGTGACAACCATTATTGGCATGAGTATATTTCTGAGTGCGGCGTTAAAAAACAAACCAACAAACGTTACCTTGGGTAGAGAGTGTTTCAGAAATGCTGATCTCGCCTTGCACAGAACATCGGAACTGCCTGTTGATGTCCGAAGATGACACTGTGTGGGTAAGTGAAGACCCAACCGTATAAACACACCCACCAGATGCAGGTACAAGCTTAACGGGGTCGTTCATGATGCTAGAACCGTTGGGGTACCTTACCCATGGGGATATCACACTGCCCACAGATCGCCATTCCCATGTCAAAAGGTTCTCGGTATTTTTGTCAAAATGGTTACCAATTCTCCCTGTGCACGTGAAACGCACAATCTCATCTCTGTAATAAAGGCTTCTGTTAGGCACCTTTGATATCGTCAATTGTTTGGGTGGATTATCTGGAAAATAGAAGCATTGTGGTAGGAAACAGTGGGATTTTCTGTAATGTAGGGCCCTGTCAGGAAAACATGATATAGTCCAATCTTTTTGTGGATTATCTGGAAAACAGAGGTATTCTGGTAGGAAACAGAGGGATTTTCTGTAATGTAGGGCCCTGTCAGGAAAACATGATATAGTCCAATCTTTTTGTGGATTATCTGGAAAACAGAGGTACTCTGGTAGGAAACAGTGGGATTTTCTGTAATGTAGGGCCGTCAGGAAAACATGATATGGTCCAATCTTTTTGTGGATTATCTGGAAAACAGAGGTACTCTTGTAGGAAACAGTGGGATTTTCTGTAATGTAGGGCCCTGTCAGGAAAAAACATGATATAGTCCAATCTTTTGTGGATTATCTGGAAAACAGAGGTACTCTGGTAGGAAACAGTGGGATTTTCTGTAATGTAGGGCCCTGTCAGGAAAACATGATATAGTCCAATCTTTTTGTGGATTATCTGGAAAACAGAGGTACTCTGGTAGGAAACAGTGGGATTTTCTGTAATGTAGGGCCCTGTCAGGAAAACATGATATAGTCCAATCTTTTTGTGGATTATCTGGAAAACAGAGGTACTCTGGTAGGAAACAGTGGGATTTTCTGTAATGTAGGGCCCTGTCAGGAAAACATGATATAGTCCAATCTTTTTGTGGATTATCTGGAAAACAGAGGTACTCTGGTAGGAAACAGTGGGATTTTCTGTAATGTAGGGTCCTGTCAGGAAAACATGATATAGTCCAATCTTTTTGTGGATTATCTGGAAAACAGAGGTATTCTGGTAGGGAACAGTGGGGTTTTCTGTAATGTAGGGCCGTCAGGAAATCATGATATGGTCCAATCTTTTTGTGGATTATCTGGAAAACAGAGTTATTCTGGTAGGAAACAGTGGGATTTTCTGTAATGTAGGGCCCTGTCAGGAAAACATGATATAGTCCAATCGTTTGGTGGATTATCTGGAAAACAAAGGTATTCTGGTAGGAAACAGTGGGATTTTCTGTAATGTAGGGCCCTGTCAGGAAAACATGATATGGTCCAATCGTTTTGTGGACTATCTGGAAAACAAAGGTATTCTGGTAGGAAACAATGGGATTTTCTGTAATGTAGGGCCCTGTCAGGAAAACATGATATAGTCCAATCTTTTTGTGGATTATCTGGAAAACAGAGGTATTCTGGTAGGAAACAGTGGGATTTTCTGTAATGTAGGGCCCTGTCAGGAAAACATGATATAGTCCAATCTTTTTGTGGATTATCTGGAAAACAGAGGTATTCTGGTAGGAAACAGTGGGATTTTCTGTAATGTGAGGGCCCTGTCAGGAAAACATGATATAGTCCAATCTTTTGTGGATTATCTGGAAAACAGAGGTACTCTGGTAGGAAACAGTGGGATCTTCTGTAATGTAGGGCCCTGTCAGGAAAACATGATATAGTCCAATCTTTTTGTGGATTATCTGGAAAACAGAGTTATTCTGGTAGGAAACAGTGGGATTTTCTGTAACGTAGGGCCCTGTCAGGAAAACATGATATAGTCCAATCTTTTTGTGGATTATCTGGAAAACAGAGGTACTCTGGTAGGAAACAGTGGGATCTTCTGTAATGTAGGGTCCTGTCAGGAAAACATAATATAGTCCAATCTCTTTGTGGATTATCTGGAAAACAGAGGTATTCTGGTAGGAAACAGTGGGATTTTCTGTAACGTAGGGCCCTGTCAGGAGAATATGATATGGTCCAATCTTTTTGTGGATTATCTGGAAAACAGAGGTATTCTGGTAGGAAACAGTGGGGTTTTCTGTAATGTAGGGCCCTGACAGGAACATTTGATATCATCAATCGTTTGGGTGGATTGTCTGGACAATAGTCATTGTGGTAGGAAATAGTGGAATAGAGTCCCCTCTCAATAACATTTGATATCGTCAATCTTTAAATACAATCTTCTGTGAGGTACCTTCGATATCCATTTGGGCGTATTATCTAGAAAATAGAGACATTGTGAAAGTGATAAACTACTTCTTTCATCAACTGACCAGCATGTAATAATAAAGCTGTCGTACTATATCAATTATGCTCTTATTAAACGTAATAATCTGATAAAAAGTGTTGTATGTCCATCGTGTTTCACTACTTGTACATAATTTACTGCCTGTATCATTATTTGCTGTTTGGATCACTAATTACTACTTATTGCACCATATGTATAATGTATATGTATAACTCCAATGTATATGGGCCGGAGGCCTTTTGTACAATAAACATCTTTGACTTGACTTTGACTGAGTGAGTGAGTATGGTTTTACGCCGCTTTAGCAATATTCCAGCAATATCACAGCGGGGGACAGCAGAAATGGGCTTCACACATAGTACCCATGTGGGGAATCGAACCCGGGTCTTCAGCATGAGAAGCGGACGCTTTAACCATTAAGCTACCCCACCGCCCACATTGTGAAAGACTGTTCTGCAATACAATCAACATTATTGTCAACCTTTTCCGGGATTATCCTTACAATGAAGGCTTTGTGGTGGAAATGTTGGAAGGAACAGGATCGTGACTAGAGGATTCACTTAAGGTTTATACTTATTTATCTCTCGAGGATGAGAATATTACTGGAAATACGTGATCGATATTGTCAGCCTATGATACTGAGGACTTTGACCCCGAAGTGTTGTCGGTCCTCAGACATTGTGCCTCCGTCATATAGCTGGAATATTGCTAAATGTGGCGTAAAACTAAACTCACTCACTCAGGTATTGTGAAACCACGAGCATAGGTCTGGTGCTGACACTCCGAGAACATAATCGAGGCCAATAGGAATTCGAACCAACGATCACAGATTCCTGGAGTGACCAAGGGACGTAACTCTACACAGAGAATATCGGTAAATTTATGTGAGTGAGTGAGTTTAGTTTTACGCTGCTTTTAGATATATTCCAGCAATATCACGGCCCGGGACACCAGAAATGGGCTTCACACATTGTGCACATGTGGTGATTTGAACCCGGGTCTTCGGCGTGACGAGCTAACGCTTTAACCACTAGGCCACCCCACCGCCTCATCGGTACATTAAGCGTGCTATCAAAGGTTCATAAGGGGCGGTGGGGAAGCCTAGTGGTTAAAGCGTTGGCTCGTCACGCCGAAGACCCGGGTTCGAATCCCCACATGGGTACAATGTGTGAAGCCCATTTCTGGTGTCCACCGCCGTGATGTTGCTGGAATATTGCTAAAAGCGGCGTAAAACCAAAACTCCGTCAAAGGTTCATATGACCAGGGAGACTCTATAAGGGGGGAGTGGTCACTCCTCGGAAAGCTCCTAAGCTATGCCTCGGCTCGTCACGTGACCAGTGTAGCCAATATGGCAGCAGCGTAGTTTTTAAGATTGAGCCCGGTTTACTTTCAACAGCTGATTACATACGCTGAGTGTTGTGACAACTGAAAACCTACATGTAGAAGATAAGTTACCTATTCTGTCACTTCATTTCAAGTCAAATAATTGTTATTAGTGTCAGTATAAGTACAGTAGCTTTGTAGTAAAGTTTCAAGTGGGCATGTTGTAGCTCACTGGCTTCAATTCTCAGTACACAGCGAAGAAAGACTAAATTATATCGCTAAAAACTTCTTTCACATATTCGTTTAATTTTTAGAAGGGAAATATACCTTTAGTTGAAAGGTGTTTGCAAGTAATAGTGATAGTTTTATAACTATAACTTGAGGTGTGTGAAAAATATGACATATCGCCGATCTGCCATTGAAATACTACAGGGCGTTGTTTGAGTGTTTCTAGTTAGTGTTCAAAAACATCTTTCACATACACCTTCAATTTTTATGAGGGGAATATACCATCAGGTGAAAGGTGTTTGCAAGTAACATTGATGTTTTTTTTTTTTTTTTTTGTTAGTGTGTATTTGAGGTGTGTGAAAATATGACATATCGCCATTGGTGCTTGTGATGCTTGAGTGTTATAGTTCTAAAACTTCTTTCTTTCTTGTTGATCTTAGTATTTGACAAAACTGGAAAGGTGTTTACAACGCTTTGTGATAGTTCTAAACTTTCTGTTCTTGAGGGGTCTGTGACAGTGTCAGTTAACATTCTGTCAATGCCCATGTCATTCCACACATGCAATAAGATATCTGAATTAGTTACTAATGTAAAAACATGTCTCAAAGTAATTTTTTTTGAAAAAGGACAGCTGATGTTAACATTTGTGTTCTACCGATAGTTTTGCGTTCTTTAACATGTTTGGGGAGGGATGGCCGTGGTGTATCATTTATTCTTTCATTCATTCACATATGTTCTTTTTCTTTTGTTCTTTTTCTTAATTTCTTTCATTCATTCACATAAAATTCTTGCTCTTAATTCATTCATTCATTCATTCATTGTAAAATTCCGACTGATACAATACACTGGCTGAAGTACTGTTAAACGCAGCCGAAGTTGCGCTGGGACCGAACCAAGTCACTGTGTGCGTTGGAGCATGACGAGGCACACGTTAATTAGTACAAATGGTAAAGAAAGCAAGCGAGTGACCTATCCCTGTTGTAGAGTATCCCTGATATGACATAAAACGGTGCTTATATATGAGATTTATGTGGAATAACATTCATTTCCACTAGGGTAGCCTAGTGGTTAAAGTGTTCACTTCACGCCGAAGACCCGGGTTCGATTCCCCACAAGGGTACAATGTGTGAAGCCAATTTCTCGTGTCCCCTTCTGCGATATTGCTGTAATATTGCTAAAGCTAAACAGAAACTCACACACTTATACCCTCGACTCTCTCATATGGGCAGTGGTACATAAGTCCCGAAACATTCAAAGGAAATTTAAATTTACCAGCTGTTTTAAATGTAGTATTTTTGTTATTTTAAATTTCGGCTAAATCGTCCTAGCATCGCCAGCGGCTGAAGGGATGATATAAATCCAGCTAGGGTCCATGCAGCTAGCAAAAGTAATGTAAGTCCCCATGGTCCCTAGCTTGGTGATCTACCTCCAGTTGTTGGCGATCTATAGCCAGTTTTTATATTGTATTGTCCAAGTAGTGCGATTAGTTTTAACTTTCCACACTAGTTTTAATTGTAATTGTGATAGTCTAGTTGTTTTACTGTCCTTTGAAGACAGATTTTTCTAATGTACACATATTACATTTCAATGACAAATATGTACTCTCCACGACATGGCTGAAATATTGCCGATGTGACGTTAAATATTAACTCACTCACTCATATGGGCAGTACTTACTTATGACAGTGACGTTCACAAAGACAAAGTCGTTTCTGGAGACATCACCAGCTTCGTATTGGGTTTTGCAATAGTAGGCAGAAACGCCAGAGCACTCGAGTTCTTTGAGAACCAGTTCTACAGTGCCAGTGGGCCCGCTGAATGAGCCGGACGTGGTCAGGCGTGACTGCAGACCGGTGTCCTGCACTTGAAGCGATGAATTGGTTGCAACAACTAAAGGCTGGGTATCACTGCCTCCATACATCCTTCCAACAGTGATCTCCTCTACATGCGTTATATCTGGCGCAGCAACGGAACAGTTGACAGTCAACTGTGGGCTTGGTTCCCTGCCTCCTATTTGGATCCGTTGTGGAGAGACTGAGAGCGAGACTGCTTGTCCTGGAATAAAGAACATTATGTTTTTCAATGAGTGTTTTTTCTACTTAAAAAATACTTCATTATTTTATTAAACTCTGTCAAAAAGGAAACGCAACCCCTGTCCTCAGATATTAAAAATTCGTTTGAATATTAAAGTTATTGCTTCCAAACTAAATTTTATTCAAATGTATTGAAATTATACACGTATTTAATGAAGATTACCATCCAAACAACTGCATTTTCACGCATAAGTGTATTTTATTGCTTATTCCGTCACAACGCATGAAATGACCCTGGTGACTTCGCACAAAAAAACAAATGCACGTGCAAATCATGAAAATGGCAGTTAATGTAGGGGTGTATAGAAGCACATGTGCTTTCGTATGTTATTCATTCATTTGTCGCCGAAAAGCAGTATCAAAAATACCACGATTGAGTGCTGCCGACCGAAATATCGCCATTGGTCGTGTTCAAGCCGGAGAAAGTTTTGGAACTGTTGCACGGCACCTAAATGTTCACAAAACAACGATATCCCGACTTTGGAGCCGCTACAACAACTTCAATTCGACCAACGATCGCCCGAGAAGTGGAAGGCCAAGAATCACGACCCCCCTTCAAGATCGGTACATCCGGGTCCATCACCTGCGTAATCGGCATGCCCTATAAAACCGTGACTGCCACACAAATACCAGGTTTGAGGAGACTGTCAGCTCAAACGATTAGGAACCGTCTGAAAGAAGCGGGTTTACGTGCCTGTAGACCAGTTGTTGGACCTGTACTACGCCCCCTACATCGACGCCGACGACTCAGGTGGTGGACTTTACAAAACTGGAGGCGCATCTGGTTTTCTGATGAATCACGTTTTCTTTTGCAACGTCACGACGGAAGACAGCGTGTGTATAGGAGACGTCATGAACGTTTTGCGCCCATCTGCCTCCGACAGGTGGACAGATTTGGCGGAGACAGCGTTATGGTTTGGGGAGCCATCTCATACAACCAGAAATCAGACTTGGTGATCGTTCAAGGGAACCTGACAGCCCAGCGTTACATCAACCACGTGTTACAGCCTCACCTTCTCCCGATTATTGACCAACAGACACAGATTTTTCAACAGGACAACGCCCGGCCTCATACTGCACGTGCAACAATAAACTTTATGCAGAATTCCAACGTCAATGTCTTGCGATGGCCCTCTAAATCACCAGACCTCAACCCTATTGAACACCTGTGGGATACTCTGGACGCGTACGTCAACGTCAGCCGCCGCCACAGACGCTGCAACAGCTCGCCGTTGCACTGCAGGAGGAGTGGAGAGCCATTCCCCAGGAGAGAATCCGGCGTCTTATCCGTTCTTGTCAAAGGAGATGCCGTGCAGTGATTGCAGCTCGTGGTGCTCATACGAGATACGGAGAAAGACGCCCCCTGGTGACAAACTGGTGTCTGTGAGATGACTTTTGAAATGCCAATTGTAAACATGACCATCTTGGTTATTATTCTGCCAAATTTCAGACTTCTTTCTTAAATAATAAAAATGCTGTGTCGTCCTAAAACCAAGATTAAAATCTCTAAAATACAGGGGTTGCGTTTCTTTTGTGACAGAGTTTATGATTATTTAGGCTATGTTGTCGTTGTTGATACTATTGTTGTCCTTATTGTCATTTGGATTCCCCACATGGTAACAATGTGTGAAGCCCTTTTCTGAGGTCCTCCGCAGTAATTTTGCTGGAATGTTGCTGACAGCGGCGTCAAACTAAACTCACTCACTTACTCACTCTTTTTGTTACTTGGTTTTCGTTACGATCTGTACAGAGTAGGGCTAATCGCTGATCCATGCGAAAATGGTCATCACTATTTCTTAAAGCTATTCAAGATGTATGTTCTAGAAATTCTGTGATTACACTATCTGTTATTTTAAACGGCATTGCAGATCTGACAAATCATAAAAAGGAAATTATATTTAAAAATGTACATCAGAATATAAGCATATCTAAACGATTCCAGTAGTCTTCTTTCTATACACTGACTGTGTTGAATTCTCTATCATAAGGGATAAATATTTCAATATCAAAACAGTAAATGACCTTTTTAATAAAGTTAATTATCATTTCATCAAGAGATAGATTTGTTAAATGAATTTTGATATATGTTTTGTGAATAGAGAAAGTTTCATAATTGGTAGTTCAGATTATCAACTTAGATTGTTTGTGGCTGTATCCTCAAAGGGGGTTGAAGTAGCGTAAAATTATTGTCCTCCTAAGAGGGTACGTAAGTCCCAAAAACTTTCAAAGTCAATTTTGCTAAACCATAATTTTTAATCGTAGTATGTTTGTTATTTTAAATTTCGGCTAGATCTTCCTGCAATCGCCAGCGGCTGAAGATGGTGTAAATCGAACTAAGGTCCATGTAGGTAGCAAAGGTACTGTAAGTCCCCATGGACCATAGTATGGTGATCTACCTTCAGTTGTTGGCGATCTATAGCCCGTGTTTTATATTGTACTGTCTTCTTCAATTAAAATGTTTTAGATTTACATTCTAGTTTTATATTCATATCTGTGATACTCTAGGATTTTTACTGTCCATCGTCGACAGGTTTAACTCTTCACAATGTTTTCATTTTTGTATTGTATACATTGTTTTCGTCACGATATTGCTGAAATATTGCCGATGTGACGTTAAATATTAACTCACTCACTCACTCTTTCTATACACCTTTTGTGTTATAATATTCCCCTAAACTGTCAATCTTCTTATGAGTCTGTTTCCTGTAATTGCTTGTGTATTAGTTTATTTTAAATATATTTGGAGAGGTTTTTTTTTATAAGTTGTAAGACCTTGTCCCCGATTACTGGTCACGTGAATCGGACCTTGAAGTGTCATTATGCCTAAACCATTATTTACAAGTTTTTCAAGCAGAATACTACAGCTTGACTTCATCTATCCTACACTTGCAGTATTGTATAGGTCTAAAACGCCAATTGCGTAGATCGATGCTCTTGCTGTTGATCACTGGATTGTCTGGTCCAGACTTGATTATTTACAGACCACCGCCATATAGCTGGAATACTGCTGAGTGCGGCGTAAAACTAAACTCACTCGCTCCCTGTTGGTCTAAATCTTGTATCGTCCTCCTCCGTGGTATAGTGGTTAGAGTACGGAACGGAAGATCGCGGGTTCGATCCCCGGCCGCGTCATACCAAAAGATGTTACAATATGGTACTTGTTGGTCCCTGCCTCGCGTTTGGCATTAATAGGTACATCAAGGAGTGGTCGGCTCGGAGTCAGTATTATGTGTCTGAGTGGGGTATTCATGTTAAACAACAAACCAACCGACCAAACATCTTTATCCCATAAGAATTAACAACATGCTTTAAATGCATATGACAGACGGACCCACCGACAGACAAATATGTTAGCAACAAAGGCCATGGGCCGATGTTATAATAGGTGAAATTGGGTTTAACGTCGTGCTTGAGAATATTTCGCTCATATGACGACGTGCATGCGTGTGTATGTGTATGTGCGGCTGCTTGTACGAGCCCAGACTTAAGCTGGTTTTATAGTGCTAGCCCACTGAGATACCATGCTGCAGTGAAGCATGAATACCCCACTCAGACACATTATACTGACTCCGAGCCGACCAGTCCTTGTTGTACCCATTAATGCCGAGCGCCAGACAGGGACCAACAAGTACCATATTTTAACGTCTTTTGGTATGACGCGGTCGGGGATCGAGCCCGCGACCTTCCGCTCTCCGGGCGGACGCTCTAACCACTACACCACGGAGGCGGTCTCCATGTTATAATAATTGTCAAAGGCTGCTTACAAGTGATTGAATGGCTTTACGCTGCTTGTAGCACCAGTTTTAACCATATTGGAAATCGAACTCCGGACTCGGATGCTTTCACAACTGGGGCGGTGGTGTAGCCTAGTGGTTAAAGCGTTCGCTCGTCACGCCGAAGATCTGGGTTCGATTCCCCACATGGGTATAGGTACAATGTGTGAAGCGCATTTCTGATGTCCCCAGCCGTGATATTCAAATTCAAACTTTTATCCCGTATAAAGGCCATAGGCCCAAGTACAAAAATTCACAAAATAATAATGATAGTGTCAAAATGGTTAAATACACCTTTAAAGCACTTCTTAACCTTAAAGCTTCTTTTACAAATCTTGCTAAGTTAATTAGGATATTCACTTTATCACAACTTAATAACATATTACATTTATAAATAGAAGGAGTTTCCATATATTTTCAGGAACATACTTTTGTCTTAAAATAGAATAAACTTAACATATTAACAGAAAATGATATTCATCTTCTATACATCCATTCATACATAAATAACAAAATCGTTCATCGCGAACAATACCACAACGTCTACCAACATTAATCATTAAAGGCAATTCCCCAGATCTTAGCAAAAATACAAGCCTTCTATATTCGCGATCCTTTAGAGTGGATAAATAATATTCAACTGTCAATAGAGATTTATATTCTTGATAGAAACATAACTTATTTGATTCACAAACTTTAGAAAACCAATCTTGCTGGTGGCAATCTTTAACTCTTTGCACAAACTTACTAAGCAATAAAGAACAACTTCCTGAGAGATCCACACAAATCCAAACCCATAAGAGAAAAGTAACATTTTAACCTTTGAAGCCCATGTAACACGATTACAGTCGTCTAAAGATTTACACAGAAGATAGCTTTGCTTAGGATGTCGATGATTAGGCATTGATAGCAAGTTTAACCAATACTGAATACATCTTTTATGACATTCAAAAAATAAGCCGTGATATTGCTGGAAAATATCTAAAAGCTGGCGTAAAATTCACTCACTCACTCACGCTCACTTTGACAACTCGGCTCCTCCGATGACCCATGCGTGTAAGATTATGTACATAAAGTCATTAGTTTATTTATTATTTACACAAATTCCTGAAAAGGCATTAAAGTATTATTATTATTATTATTATTATTATTATTATTATTATTATTATTAACGTATGTTATATTTGGGATTACACTTTCTTAGTAAACAAACATTGTGTATTTCAAGTCATTAGTTTGCCGCCTCTCTCCGCACAAACATGAGCTAAATACAGGTTAGTATTTTACATGGAAGATTTATCGGCTGATTTCTTGAGATGGATAGGTTTTTGTCAGATGTTGTTTTCTAAGACATGTATATATCCCTGACAATGGCGCTCACGTGATATCACATGCTATTAATCATCCATAAAAGTCATATTCATAATCAGGCAATATTCACAGTATTTCTCCCGGGTCGGGAGGTCAGGCTCGCTGACTTGGTTGACACATGTCATCGGTTACCATTTGCGCAGATCGATGCTCATGCTGTTGATCACTGAATTGTCTGGTCCAGACTCTTTTGTACAGACCGACGCCATATAGCTGAAATATTGCTGAGTGCGGCGTAAAACTAAACTCACTCACTCACAGTATCTCTCATCATGATGAACAGCATTGTGTCTTTCAACATCTAATCTAAAATTATTGGGCGTAAATTACAAATGTCACTTAACATATAATAATAATGATAATAATGGATAGCATTTGTATAGCGCTAATCTCCGAAAGGACTCTTTGCGCATTCATATAGTGAGATATATTTGTTAATAGTTATTATTCACGAATTGCGCCGTTATTTATACTGCACTTCGGTGACCTTTCCAAGAATAAACTAAAATGAAGTTCTACAAACTTACTGAAGTATATAATCAAACCAACAAAATTGTATTTACCTTCTTGTCCAGTAATTAGCTGCAGCATCGTCGTTAGCAACAGAAGTTCGAACTCCATTTTAAAACTGGGGCTGAAATTGATTCCCAACAATACAGTAGTGATGATCCCCGAGATACTGATGACACTGATGAGTTGTGTGTGCCGATCGTACACTTCCGGGTGTCAGATACAGACAACTCATATCCTGATTTGTCCCACAGCGCTGATGTATAGAGAGGGGACTTCCTGTTATCAATATTTCAGTGAACAACAATCGCATTGAGTCTGATTCAGTCGTTTGTTTGTTTGTTTATCTCAACGCATCAATTTTCCAGTTGTATGGCGGCATACCTGTCAACTTTCACGCATTTGGCTTAAAACTCAAGCTTTTATTACTCAAGTTTCATGGGCGGATCCAGGAATTTTGAAAGGGGGGGTGGTGCCTGACACCACCACCCCCATTGGCTCCGCCAACGCAAAAAATCTTTAATGTGGTCTTAAGTTATTTTCGGGGTCGAACCCCTGAACCCCCTCTGGTGCCGCCAATGTGTTTTGTTTTCACGACATTACTGATCAATTACGCCAACCTGGTTCATATGAAAAATAGAAATAAAATAAAAAACATCCGTTAAAAATCACAGTTTTCAGTGGCTTTTCTGAGGAAAGAATTTGCTAATTTTACATGCGTTGGCTTAAAATGGGCTTCAGAGCCCGGGCGGGGAGGGCGGCCCTTGGATCCCGGCATCTCAAGCTTTATTCTTTCTTGGGCTTACAAGCTGTATGGCGGCGGTCTGTCAATAATCGACAATCCAGTGATAAAAAGCGGAAGCATCGATCCACGCAATTGGGATACGATGACATGTGTCAACCAAGTCAGCGAGTCTGACCATCCGATCCCGTTAGTCGCCTCTTACGACAAGCTAGGGATCCTGAAAAACAATTCTAACCCGGATCTTGGAAGGCTAGAAGTTATGACCTTCGTTCAGCACGCGTGAAATCCGGGTTCGAAAGACATTTCCAATTTCCAAAGTCCCTGCACCATCCCTTCGTGATACAAATGACGTGATACAAACCCGGAATGTCGCGAGCCATGTAACCTCGTGGGTGTACAATATGTAAGATGCTGGTGGGACGGTATCTGTGTATGATCTCTGTTCCAGGTAAAATCAGGGCCGGTGGGGTAGCCTAATGGTTAAAGCGTCCGCTCGTCACGGTTCGATCATGGTTCGATTTCTCACATGGGTACAATATGTGAAGCCCATTTCTGGTGTGCCCCGCCGTGATATTTCTGGAATATTGCTAAAAGCGGTGTTAACACATTCTCACTCACTCTAGGTAACATCACCGGTCCCCATGGAAACTATTTGCCGTGAGAAGCGACAATGCATGGATCAGGTGGTCAGTTTGATTACACGACACCGTGAGGGGGATGTTAATCACTGGGTACGGAACCAATAATTGGAATATTGACAAGGGCACCGTTAAACAACAAACCCTTAGAGAGACGCATTTTTATATTCTAAGGGACCGGTGTTTACTTGAAAAATAATTTGTTACAGAAAAACAACAACAAGGAAATAATGTTTGGCTTCGAAGTTTCCAAACGGTACATGAAAATATTGTGAAATAGTGTCTGTCTTCTCCAAACTGAAACACATTATGTCCGTTGAGTTGCCTCCCTTTCTGTGCATTCGCCCTGATCATGATCCTTTCTATAGCCATACCGATGCTTCTATGACCAAATAGTTGGGTAGCCTAGGGGGTGGGCGCGTTTGCTCGTCACGCCGAAGGCCTGGGTTCGATTCCCCAAATGGGTACAATGCCTGAATACCACTTCTGGTGTTTCTGTAATATTGTTAAAGACGGTGTAAAACCAACTCACTCACACCTACGACCAAACCAAACACTGTGAGTTGAAATCTCGTTTCTAGGTCCGCCAGCTTCAAACTCATTGTTTTACCGTCTTTTTACAGTTCAAACCGGTGTTAAATCCAACATGCTCACTCGCTGTTGATTAGTTGGGGAATGAGTATGGGTTTAAGCAGCTTTTAGCAATATTCCAGCAATATCGCGGCAGGGGACACCAGAAATGGGCTTGACACATTGGACCAGGGTCTTCCGTGTGACGGGCCAACGCTTTAACCACCAAGCTACACCACCGCCCCGCCTCCAATGTTGATAGTTGGTTGGTTTGTTGTTTAACGCCGCACTCAGTAATATTCCAGCTATACAGCGGCGGTTTGTAAATAATCGAGCCTGGGCCAGACAATCAAGTGATCAACATCAATATATTGGGACAAGGTGACATGTGTGAACCAAGTCAGCGAGTCTGACCAACCGATCCCGTTAGTCGCCTCTTACGACAAGCACGGGTTGCTGAAGACCAATTCCAACCCGGATCTTCACGGGCCTGTTGATGAAGAGCATAACATGAAACCTCCACAATGCACTGAGTGTTTACCGCGAGAGGTCGAGAGATTCAGATCGGCAAATAGCTAACGAAGCTTTAAGTATTTAATTATGATTAATATTCATTATGACAATATCTCAAAAACTACAATATAGTAATTCAAATGGAAAGGGAACTTGTAAAATCATCATACAATTAATTGTCTTTATCGATCAACCGCCTTTTCCGTTAATCAGCCAACAACAGAATAACATGCATTTATTACCATGGATTCGGGAACACCAGACCATTCTACAAATAACCTAGTATATCCGTTTGGTTTTGGTCCACGATGCGACAGTAGTCTGTAAATAATCGAGCCTGGACCAGACAAACCAGATATTGATGTCATATGTATTGATCTTAAATTTGCATTTGATAAGACATAGTACTCGAGTGGGTATCACAATTGCGTTGATCGATGCTCATGATTTTTCACAATGTAGTTTCATCTAAAATTGCTACTGTAGCGCAGGCATTCTGAAACAAGAAATACTTTGTTTAATTCAACTGTGAATTTGAGTGTTACCTCAAAAACATATATAATATGATGATGAAAAATAATATCAATTCAAGAATCTTGAGACACACAGTTATGAATTGCGTCTGAACAAGACAATCCAGTGATCAACATCATGAGCATCGATCTAGGTCACTTTATCCCATTTGCATAGATCAATGCTCAAGATGATGATCACTGGATTGTCTGGTCCCGACTCGACTATTAACTGGCCGCAGTCATATAGCTGGACTAGTGCTGGGTGTGGCGTTAAACAACAAACAGACCTCGCGTCACACCAGAGACCATATATATATATATATATATATATAATATGGTCTCTGGTCACACTGAAAGGGGCGAGAGGGAAGTTGACACAAGTGGGTGGGTGTGGGTATAAGGTTTGCGTTCTATGGAATGACCCTCGAGAGATATATGTTTTTCGTTTGAAATAGCTAGTCTTAAAGAAATGTGCGGAATGATATGCAATGAAACCACCATATTTTTAAGAATTTCTTTTTTGGTACACCCATGCCACCCATGCGTCGAACCCCCTGAACCCCCGCTGGCTCCGCCAATGCAAAACATCAACTTCAATGTGGTCTTTACTTAGCCATTTTCAAAAGTGGGGGGTTCGAACCCCCTGATCCCTCCCTTGGATCCGCCAATGATATATCCCAAATATGATGTAAGCCTTTTTTAAGGGAATATAGTGTCCAATTACGTTCGTCAGAGAATTAGCGCACAGTGTGCCCTCAACATCCACATTGTCCCGGATTAACAATAACAGCTAAATCGAAGTCGAACTGTCACCCTCCAATACGCCATGGTAACTTTCCCCAGGCTCCATAACACCGCGTGCGACATTTGCCTCCTCACTATCGATGCGAGGAGCAGAGTTCAGCCAATCAAAATGCTCATCTCCTGTGACGCACCCTGGCGACGGGTCATTATCCCCTGTGGCGTCTGAAAGGAAAGGAGAGAAGAGTCGTAAAGGCGCAAAAATCAAATATGGCACAGGCCCGTGAACAAGTGGAACTGCCTCAACGCTTCCAGGCGTCGACAGAAGCAGCGCTTCAAAGATTTACACGTGGACAAAGGTAAATATTCAAATATTATTGATTTAAAATGAATTAATCTAGGCCCACCCAAACTGGGCAAAGACGCCCGATCGTGACTTGGTCTTCGGTGATAAGATGGTAGCTGTTTATTACTCAGGCAGTGGTGTGTTATAGTATAAGTATTGATAGCAGTTTAACTCTGCCATTAGGGCCTACTTCCACTGGTTTTCGAATTCGAATAGCTGTGTTCCCAAACGCACGCAAGCCGACCGCGCGGACGCACTCATGCACGCAGACGCATACACATACATCACCACCCTCAAGTGACCCTGACCTATGATGTCGACGGACAACCCATGCTAGTTAACAATGTTGTAAGAGACAACTAAAGGCCTAACGAGTGTCTTGGTTAATCCATGTTATTGTATTCTAATTGTGTAGACTGATACTCAGGATGTCATTCCCCGGGTTCGAATCCCCACATGGGTACAATGTGTGAAGCCCATTTCTGGTGTCCCCCCGCCGTGATGTTGCTGGAATATTGCTAAAAGCGGGGTAAAACCAAACTCAGTCAGATACTCATGATGTCACTCACTGGATTGTCTTCTGTAGACTGAAGTCAGAGACTGCCATTATGGGAAGGGAGGTTGGGGTGGTTTCAGGTGGACAAGAGTATCCTGTTTGTTGCTCATAGCAATCTGACAGGGTTGGGTCAGAGAGATCAGATTTTTAGACCAATCGCAATACTGCATCTGCAGTTGTAGCCCAGAATTGACATTAATAATTAGAATTGATAGTGTCTGTCCTCAGAGGAGGAGGCCTGCTATGGCCTTTCTTCAAAAGCACAATGCTCAAATACTACCTTGGTCTGCAAATTTCCAGAACCTCTCCCCTATAGAACATGTGTAGGAAGAAATCTTGTGCTGTGTTATGTATAAATGTAGTAGACATATAAACAAATGTTATAACTCTTGTGCTGTGTTATGTATAAATGTAGTAGACATATAAACAAATGTTATAACTCTTGTGCTGTGTTATGTATAAATGTAGTAGACATATAAACAAATGTTATAACTCTTGTGCTGTGTTATGTATAAATGTAGTAGACATATAAACAAATGTTATAACT